TGATCACAGCAAAGCAAAATAACTGTGGGCTTCCTCCTTTTATCACTTATACCTGCTTTACCTCTTGTTACTCCACTCAGCAGCACCGGCTCTGATTTAATCTGCAGGAAGGATGCTTGTCCACAAACCTGATCAACACAATCCAGCCTTCACAAACATATACCAGTGCAAGGTACCTTCTAGTGAGGCTTTGAGCAGAAATATTTTTAGGAATATAAACTGCTAAAATATAAAATTCCACAGAAATAACACAAGAAGAGGGAAAAAGAGAGAGAGAGAGATGGCAAAACCATAGCATCCGCTGCCTCCTCACTGCAAAGTAGCACTGTGTAGGTTAAGGGCTGCTGAAATGGCAGGAAGGTGCAACGTGGCAGATGTTTAGCCTTGCCACATTGGCCATCACGGCTGCAGGATCTGCCAGGAGACTGCCATGGAACTGACAGTGAGAAGCATTTAGCATCCCCACTCCAGCTTTGCACGTGGCTTGTAAGTCCCCAGACATGAGGCACACCTATTGCTGATGGGCTCTTCAGATGCCAGATGAAGATCCAGCAAGGTCCAAGGACTGGAGGCTGGAACGTGACCTACTCAGATGAAAAACCGGGTGCAGTTTTGAACAACACAGGTAGATCAACAACTGGGACTATTTACCACAGGCTGTGATGGAGCCTGTGACATGCGGTTTAAAATTAGGGTGCCGGATGTTTTTAAATGATCACTGTTTCAATCTGGAATTACTTCGGAAGCATCCTCTATACCATGTTTACTCTGCATTACGAAGCTATATTATACTCTTATTTGATTGTTTGGTCAGGATTGCAGCTTGGCAGGTTCCTCCTCCTTGCCTAATTAGTGCTTCTTCCTCATAGCTCAGCGCGGGACTTGTTTTTCTCCCCCTACAGAGCCCCATTTCCTGTGCACACCTCCTCACATCACACACTTACTCCCCATCTCCCCTGACCCTTGAACAACAATGACCCAGTCCCATGTCTGAAGAAGAATTGCCCTTTGCTCCATTGGGCTGGCACTGAGTTCCTAACCCCGTGGCTGTTCAGTCTGAGGAGCTGGGGGCAGGAGAAGCACTTCAGACATGGCAGCCCAGGCCGGTTTGCCGCACAGATGTTGTCCACCATGGCCTGTCCTGGGGCCGAGGCAGCAGTCGCTGCACAGAGGTGTGCCACGTGAAGGCCGGGCTCCTGTGATGACAAATCCTCTGCTGCCGCTCTGCTGCTCTGTTGGCCTACATAGAGGGAAGCTCTTGACAGCAAGGCCTTGTCTCTGTCTTTGTCGATGTGAAGTGCCTGTAAATCCACGGGGTTACAGCCAGAACCCAGCATCACCCTAGTAATCATGCAAATCTCTTCCTTCTAACGCCCTCAGCCAGGCTCAGCCAACTTCCTCCTGTGTTTTGGCTTCAGGAACGCAGCTGATTTCTCATCCAAGCCACAGGCCATGCTCTTGGTAAAGCACGTATAAAAGACAGCAGAGCCAGGCTGCCCGTGGCCCATGAGTGCACATGAAATTCTGTACCAGGTCCTAAAACACCACCAGAAACACCAGATAATCACCAGCTGGGACAGAAACACGGACAACCTGGGAAGGGGTTGAAACCCCAAATTAATTTGGGCAGAAACCCAAAATTAAACTAGACTGAGATGCCTGACACAAAGCATTAGAGATTATTAGCATAATCCCTGTAGCTCGGCTCAGCAGCACATCCCCGGCTATAGCCTGAACTTGAAGAGAAACTGTGGCCTGGTACAAGGAACTGGCATTGCAGGGAATGAGGTGACACTGGTTTGGGCACTGAGCAATTAGGAATGGGATGCAGTGCCTGTTTCCCCTGTGCCTAGGCCCAGCATTGTAGGGCTGCCCCTACACCCGCATATGCCCCTGCTTCCAGAGTAAACAGAAAAACAGCACTTGCTGGGGCTGGCACCGTCCCTCGGTGCCTTGCAGTGACATTACCTGCCCCACATAGCACACAGAGATCGCTGCAGATTCCTCCTTGGGATGGCTTCAAGTTGTATGTGGTGAGGCAGTAGGGGATACAAGAGTTGTTGATTCAAGACTGGCAACATGGGCACAAGGAACATAGCTCCCAGAGCACACAGTACTCCTGTTGTAGGACCACACTCCTTACAGCCCCACAGACATGGCTCACCCAAACAGCCCGAACCTCTGCTGGCTTTCAGGAGCAGCAGAATGTTATCAGATCAGCCTCTGATTTCCTCTGCTTCCACAGCACAAGCAAGCATGCGAAGAAATAAGATGACATTTGGCTTCTTGCAGAGAACAGCAGATAATTTAGAGAGATTAAAGAACAGCCTCTTCTCCCACAGAAACCATCTCTGCATGGCTGGGCAGCAACCTGGCTCAGCAGGAACGATGCTGCTCGAGCGCCTCTCTGTGGATCTGGGCTCCTCTTCCTCCTGCACACAGTCTTTCTCAATCCAAATGATATCTTTTTCCCTTTAAAATGCAGAGCCCCCTTGCTCCTGTTATACTCAGGAAGCAACTCAGAGTTCACCAAACTTGTCACTGAGTGAGGACTTGGCCCAGCCAAAACTCTAGCAGTTTCATCTTTTGATTTTCACCTGTGTATCTCTATCATAAAGACCTTTCTATAATTTCCAGCATCAAAACAGCTCAAAACGGCTCAGATCTACAGCTGTCTAAGGCTCACAGAGTGACTAGGAATGAAAAAAAAAGCTGGCAAGGGCATCATCTTTGGAATAAGCAATCAGGATCCTCTCCAGAACATGCTGTGGAGCTCAGCACACAGCTCCATCACCAACACGCATGTCAACACACTGATCATACCAATTTTTTTTGTATCCCTTCAAGAAGCAGCAAACAAATGGTCCCCTGCTGAAGTCATGAGGAAAAACAAAGGCTCTTCATCAGCCTCCCACAGCTGCTTGTTGTTTTCCTTTCTCTGTGGAGCCTGCCAGCTCCTGGTTATCTTGGCCAAGCACATGATTAGGGTTTTAGAGTAAACTCAAACTGCAAACAAACAAGCACATCTTGAGATGAATACACACAAACCGGTGGGTGCACAGTACATCTAACTGTTTAGCAGATCATGTCCTGCCTCTTCTATGGATGCTAGGCAAGCCCTGTTCCACTTCTGAGCAGGCAGCAGGTGGGGTATGATTAGAGGGCACAGATCCCCAAACCGTTTACGTTTGCACAAATAGTAAGAATTAGATCTAGTGCTGCTCAAGCAGACACGCAGTAGTTGTGTTGGCTCTCTGCGGAACGGGAAGCAATGCAGAACTAGGATTTCCTGCCCAGAGTAATCCCCTGTGCCCAGATATGGCAGAAGGTCCATTGTTTCTTAAACTACCATAGAAACCAAATAATTTAGCTCTTACTGCCACCACAGCAAGAACAGAGGAAAAGATCAAGGATTGTTCCTTGATCACTTTATTGCTAAACCAGGTGGCTCAGTTTAAATAGGCATTGAAGGTAGTTTGAGCTAACCAGCTTGACTTTGCGCTGAAGCAGATGGCAAGTGCTCACACAACCCAGTATCAATATCCATAACAATCAGATGAGCTGTGGAGCTGTAGTCTGTGGCAGACGGAAAATGACAGCACAAAGGACTTTACTGTGGCCCTCAAAACCCTTCACAAAGGTAGAAAATAGGAAGGTTTCAATTCAAATAACTTGCACTTCTCCAGAGCAAAACCAGGCATCTGAAACTTGTGAAACAAATGGAGTGCTTCTCCTGTTTCCTACCTCAACAGACTGGTTGCTTTTATTTCCAGAAGAAGAGCTGAGACCTCTCATCGAAACTCAATTCAAAATAAGACAATTTGCTATGAAAAACTGAAGTGGGACTTTGGCATGGGAGTGCCTACATTGCTCAATCTGTGCTGAATCCCTGGCTCTATGTATTCATGCTTTGCTGAACCTTTGGGGGAATCACTAGATGGAGACCTGGAAAAAATACAGCCCATCCTTGCACACAGGAAAGGTTGCTGGCAGCTTTGTAAGATTCTTTGTGGATTAGACAGTAACCCTGGAAGCATGATTGCTTGTAAAAAGACCAAGGCTTTCTCATGATTTTATATAAACCTTTACTACATGCACTAACACAGCCCCTCCTGAGGTGGCAGCTGTAACAGCACAGCTTCTACACAGTGCCAGGAGCCAGGCAGAGATACTTTGTTAAGGGTCAAGAAAGCACATTTTAAGTGACCTCTCTTAAATCCCCTCAAGTTCCAGAAGACCCTTGACTGCCCTGAGCAAAGACACCCAGTGCAAAAATGCAGTTAGCCCCTGACAGAGGAATCAAACTCTGAAACCAACATCTAGATACTGCCACAGGACTGAAAACACTGACCGTGAAAGACTGATCAGGGAGCCTGCACATGTTTTTGCTTATAAAAGGCAAGCTACTTACTTGATGCAGAACTTCTGGATCAAGAAACATATGCATGGATGCCTGCATTGCCCCTAGAACTTCCTTGTCCTGTGCTGCTGAAGGGATGCTTCAGCTCTCTACGGCCTTTGACCTGTGTGCTTGGCTATGCTCCTGGCCTGTCTTTGGCTCAGCGTAGCGCTGACTTCTCTGAACTCCCCAGCTTCTGTCCTGCTCCTCAGTGACATCAATACTTGGCTCAAACACCAATCCTAGCTTGAACTTAACCCAGTGATCTCGTGTGAACATTTCCAGACTGCAAATCCTAAGTAGTATTATCTCAAATCTTCCTTCTTTCAAGTCAAAAGAAACAACTTGACTAAGGAGCAGCCCAGGTCAGACCTGAAGCACTCTGCAGGGTCACTGTGGTTTAGCCCTGCAACCCTGTATGCTCTGGGGGATGCCCACTTTCAAGGCTGATTTGCTGCCTAGTTTGAAAAGACCAGATCCCTTGCTGAGCACAAGGATGCTGCTGCCTGCCCATCTGGGTTAGAACAGAAGATGACACATGCTGGTGAGCCTCAAAAACAGAAGGACAGAAAATCAGAGTCTGGTAAAAAAGCCAGTCTTGTGAAGTGTGAGAGACATTTATTGGAGGAAAGGCTTTGTTAAAGAGGGACATTGTAACATACCATATTGCTCTGATGTTCCAGGTCTCTGAGAGGACTCAGAGATCCAGCACAAACCCTTAGCTGAAGCACACAGTTGTTTCACATACCACCTTGGTAAGAGTTCTTTCCTACTTGAAGACTCTTCCATCAGCTGTGTTGATCTCCAATGAGGAAGAGCTGAACCCTGCTGGAACAGGCTGAAGGTTAGATAAGCAGAGAGTCGCGAGCAGATCCTTGTGGCTGTGGCAGACAAGCAGATAGTTCAGATAACAAATTGCCCCAGGCTGGAAAGCAGCAGGATAGATTTGAACAGAGATGCTGTTAAAATATCAGTGCTGGATCACAGGTCTGTAGGATTAGGATACCGCAGAACCTGGTCCTCAGGATGCATGGCTGACTATGGCTTCTTCTGTCCCTTTATTTTCTGACTCTCCTTGTCCATGGCAGCTGCTCGTGCCTGCAGCCGACTCCAGTACTCAGGCAACTGCTCCTCGAGTCCTACCAGGCGCTGCTGACTAGCAGGGGAAGAAGAGGGAGTTAGAACAGTCACTGCCATTCTCCCAATGCTCACACAACCCTAGCCTGGCTCCCCAAGGGTCCCTGGGGCTGCTCTTCATAGCAGGAGCCTCTGTATTTCTCTTTGCCTGACAGTCTGTAGACACAGGTCTCACTGCAGTCATATCTGGTCTGCTCTGGCCTGAGCTCTCAGTGCCCAGAGGGGAGGTGATGTCTCACCAGTGTTTCTGGCATGAGGCAGACAAGAGTCTGCTCTCCATCTTTTTAAGAAGTGGGGACAGAACCAGTGGCATAGGATGAAACTTTCACTTTTCTATCTGTAACTAATCAGAAAACACCACAGGATTCACCCTGGAGACAAGGAATCAGAAAAGACTACCAGGTAATAAGTCCTGTAAGGTCATACCTGTACCTACCTGTTCCACTTCAAATTGGAGAACTAAAGCATAGTGATAAGAATGAACAGAACGTCACTGACGTGGAACTGGCTCCAGGTAAGAATTCAAGGAAAAAGTCATCCAATAAGAGATGTCACATTGCCATCTAGTGACAGCATGAATTCAGCACATCAACTAAGCTCTGGCTGCAACCTTGTCATGAGGGTGCCAGGGACATTCTCAAACCAAGAAACATACAACATAAAGCTACTTAAGCAACAAATTAACCCAGGAATGGAGGTGAGCAGCAACATACAAAGAGATCCCAGTTCTGCATGTCTATGGGGTCAAAAGGAAGAGGACAACAGTTAAGCAAGAATCATATTATCTGACAACCTTGCACATCCTGTGTTGTACAAAAACCACTTAGAACTAGCAAGTCCTCTTGGAAGGAGAGGCCTGCCCCAGGCATCCTGACATACAGTTGCAAGTTATTCTATGGATGACAGAAGGGAGAGAAGGAAGGGGCACGTGTTTTTGGTGGCTGGCAGGGATCCAACTAGCTGAACATCAACCTTATCCAGACATAAGTCTGTGTCACAGTACACAGAAGAACCCAGAGGCTCCAAGTTGAGACCCTGCTTGGACCTCAGCAATGCCACAGCTAACATCAATGCACTTACCTATCAGGCAGAAGGAGACTCTTACCTATCACGCAAGAACATGTTACATCTCTCAAACAATGACAGGTTCTGTAAGGACTTGAAAGGCAAATCTGGTTTCTTTGGGAAAGCCTCCTCCAGTGGGTAGGAGTTGAAGTAAAAGAGGAAGATGGTGCTGTGACTGGCTCTGCTCTGTGCCAATGCATCTGTCTGCTGCTCGTCTCCTAGACAGAGACAAGAACAGTGGAGGTCTCTTACCAGAGATGTACAAGAGCTATACAAGAGATACAGAGATGTACAGAGTATACAAGAGCTAGTCAGGTCTGAGCGATTCTAGTAGACTAACTCATGAGGTCACGCTGTGAGAATTTGTGCCCTCCCCAGACATTTGTCTGCCAAGAAACACAGCCCAGCAGTGTCCTTTGCCCTCTCGCTGCCACATCACTGCACAGTCACACTTTGCATCTTGATACCCACCTCGAAGAAGCAGGCACCAATTCACAGTATCCAATGTGAACACTGGCTGCCAGGGGGATGCTACAGCATGAGAAGGTGGACTGTTGAAGCAGCAAACCATTTGCAATGTGGCAGTATTCATCAAGGACACCGTGCCATCCCAAGAGAAAACCAGGGCCTGAAACAGCAAGTTGAGACTTAAAGGTGGATCTAAGAGAGGTGAAAAGCATTTCCTGGAAAGGGCAGGGAATGTCATTCAGGACTTGACACTCAGGATTTGACATCCCCAACTATGATGCTGTTTTCTTTGCTTGCCCAGTAGTCATAGGACCACAGCAAGCCAAGAACAGGCTGTGCAGGGAACTTGGACCAGAATTGCTTGGTTGGGATTGGGAAGGGGCAGCAGGACAAGTCAGAAATTAAGTAGATGCAGTCTTCTACATGGCTGGCTCTGGTGAAAGGCTTTTAGTCCTTTTCTCCCCAAGCCTGAAAACTTGGAGGCTACTTGAAAGGTCTGTCTGAACTTGTGCTTACAACTTCCCACCGTGATGCCCTCCTGTATTGACCCTGATCCTGGAAGCTTCACAGCTCTCATTTTTGCAGCTGGACCCTCCCATGTGCAGGCCTCCAGTGCCTCCCACCTCAGTGGTCATTAGATAACAAGGGGATACCAAGTAAGATAAAGGAAGAGAAATCATTTGAGAGTTAGAAGGTACATGCAGAACTGTAACTAGTGCAGGAAGTCCTTGAGCTGAAAATAGCTGGAGGCTGGGAAAGAATGTGAGGACAGCAACATCTGCTTGCGCTGTTCTTATTCTTCCAAGCACCCAGTTACAGCCATCACTGGAAAGAGGGTGCTAGGCCAGATGGACCTGTGCTCTTACCCAGTTCTTAAAGAACCCGGCAGCAATACTCACAGCACTGGGGAATGCCAGGACAGGCACCACTGCAGTGACAGCAAGATTCGGATCTTCAGGCCTGTGAAACAGACTCAGGGTTATGGCACTGTTTCATGCATATCACATGTACTGAGAGGCTGTAATAATAGCAATGGCGATATAAGCTACAGGGGCTGGCATGAGGTTCCAGCCAAGCCCCTTCCCTACACAAACAAAGCCGCTTCCTCCTGGGCAGGAACCCCCAAGGCCTGTCTTGTGCATAGCTGCACAAGAACTACATTGGAGATTCAAGTCCCCTGCCTGACATGGAGGCAGGAAACCACAGCTCCCAGAGCAGAAGCAGCCTCTCTTCTCCTCAAACCAAGGGGATAAGTGAAAGTCAAGTTGATAGAAATATGTCAGGAAATGCTTATTTTGACTTCCAAGTGGACGTTACTACGGCAAGGACAGAAGAGAGAAGGGCCCTGGGTACCTGGCAGAGACACAGCTAGCTGAACATCAGCCCTAGAGCAGTGCTACAAGCCCCTGTGTTCTAGTGCACAGAGCCCAGGAACAGACATCATTCTGGAACAACCATTGGATTTTAGGACTGGGACTGACTCCTAGCAAAACCATCTTTGCTGCTGACAGCAACATGGCAGAGATATCTGGGTGAAGGCAGTAGAAAGTCCTCTGTATCCTCTGTCCCACTGAGGTCTGGGCCTCCCTGATGGACCTGAGCACTATAACCCAGCTCCCTTGTCTGGAGTGAGATCTATCAGAGACTACCTCACCTGTCTGCCAGGAGCGTGATGCTGGGCTTCTTGGCCCTGGACGCTCTCAACAAATACAAAGACCCATCTGTACACAGCACTAAAAGCTCCACAGCTGGAGAGGGAGGATCTGTACCAGGGCAAGGTGCCTCACTGCTGGCAGATGCAGCACTCTGCAGGAAGTGGATGCTACGTATAGGACGTTTCTCTGGCATAACAGTCACAGACAGTGGATATCCTGGAGAGGCATTAAATAAAAATTAACCAAATAAATAAATAAATAAATAAATAAATAAATAAATAAAAAGGCAGCAGTTTAAGAAGAAAAAAAAAAAAAAGCTACCAGAATAGCCTTGATGACAGAAGACTCTTCTGCCAGAAGAACCATGCATCATGGCAGAATGATACTTCCACTGAGGACAGCCTGGACTATGATGCCACAACAGCCTCAAAGATAGCCTGAGGATGCAGTGGCAAAGCAGTGACTGTCCTGCAGAGGACTACTACTACTGGCTTCAAGACAAGAGAGGAGTCAGTCCTCGCTGCAGCAGTTCACAGCCCCTGCATTGCTGTGCATGGGAATGGTTCTGTCAGGGCTACGGAGTCAGGCTGCTTTGGCAACTTCTGGCAGAGCATCCCATGAACAAGCAAGTCCAAATTAATTTCAGATTTGCCTGTAAATTCACTGGCAGCTCCCTGTTCACACCAAGCCAGAGCCTCACACTCCTAAGGAAGGGAAATATCTATCCATTGTGATCCCAGTGCACAGTACCAAAAGCTCACCTAGGTGTTTATCCCAAATAGTTATTGCTGAATCTTCACATGCCAGTGCCAGGTACCAGGAACTGACAGCGGAGCATGCAATTGGAGCTGCACATGGCCACACAACATCAGGCTTCAGATCAGCATCTAAACAGAAGGACAGGAAGATGGAAGATGGATAACTGCAAGAAAGTGCAGAACATTCTCTCTCACGGTACCAGCTTCCAGTTTCCCGATAAAACATGAACCGTTCTGCAGTCTCTTGACAGGATTCTGTCAGCCTGTACAACACAGAGCCCTGCAATCCAAATGGCAGTCTAACACACAAGATACGGTGTAGCTCTCCTCCCCATTCCTCATTTCCCTGAATAACAGAAGATCTGGCTGAGGGACAGCTACTGGCCACTGAACACTCTCACTCCCCGAAGTGCTCTGTAAGACTTCCTTACCCACTCTCTCCTTGAGTGGACGGTTAAGTAAATAGAAACAGAGATTGTGGCTTCCGTCCCAGTACACACTGATGCTAGCTGGAACATCTAGAATGGAGAAGGGGACAATAAAAATAGAGAAGGATATCAAGGGACAAAGAAAGGAACAATCCAGGACACCAAAACCCCAATTAGAAAGCTGTTATCTAGGCTTTCATGGTTTCCCTGACAAGACTTATAGAAACTCTGCTCCCACAAACTAGAACACAACAAACACTCCCTTGTCTTTTTTTTTTTTTCCTTGCTTATGTGTCCCCCTCATTTAGTTATTTTAAACCAAGGAGCCAAGTTTTTTTGACTTCATGCCGGTGACTGACTTAACAGTCTTAGGGCTGACAGTTTTACCCAGACTTATGCTCCTGAAGATGGAATTTATAGAGCCAACCCAACCCTGAGTCACTGAGTTTTAACTGGAGCTCAATGTCATGCAATGACATACTCCACATCTTTTTGCTCAGTTGAGTTACCTGGCTGTACTTTTATGTCAGTTCCCCCCTGTAGGATCCAGCTGGGCAGGAGAAAATGAAAAGCTGCACGCCTGAAAAAGGAGTCAAGTAAGGAAAGGCCTTGATAAGTAGATAGTGATGCAACAGGTTCTGGAGTTGCTCTAGCCCCCTGCCCTGACACCCTGGGGAACAGAGCTAAGAAAGAGGTTTCCGTCTACACTTGAAGTGTCCCATGTTGAGAACTCATGGAATGAAATGCTGGCTGGGACTCTCACTCACCTGGGAACCTCATCCTTGCTCTCACTCTCACCCTCAGCCTCCAGAAACTCCCGATAAATGCTGCGGAAGATTGCCTCGTGTTGCTCCCACTGAGAGTCCTTGATCAGGTGATTGTGCCCCAAGCCAAGCATGCTGCCATCATCCACTTTCTTCAACGCATCCAAAGGGCTTTTAAAATTAGTTCCTAGATTGCAAACATAAAGGAAAGAGGCACAGCCCTGGGAGAAGGAGGCACAGCCCATGCACCATGAAGATGTGGGAGAGCCCCAGATGCACTTTTACCATTCCACCTTCAGGGTGGCATTGTCTTGAAGAGGACCACACTGCATTTTCCTGGTACAACTATTTCAACATTAATATATTCTCTGAGACTCTCCATATCACTAACCCATTTTCCAGTATTTGGAGGCAGGGATTAGAGCAAGTCAGAGCTAACCTTGCCTTTCTGTGGCATTCTCCCTGACATCATCCCAGCACAATGTCTACTCCCTCCCCATCCTCTCTGTAAAGCTTCAGTATGTCCCTGAATCCAGGACTCAGAGTGACAAAAGTAATGGTGCTGTCAGGTTGCCAGAATCTAGGAGCAATCTCCTCCCTCTCTGGTGACAATGAAGCCAAGGGTATATGACAACCACTTTCAGACACACTGAAGTGTTTTGTGCTAATACATATAGGCCAGGAAGGGACTGAGGAACACATTACTGAAGTTTTCTGACTGTTCTGTAGTCTTAAGGGCCACGAATCCTTTGCCACCTGAAGAAGACAGCATGTTCTAAGCATATAAACAGTCCCTGACCTGTAATGGGTTTGGGTGGCTTCACTTTCAGCACCAGCACTGGGAGACTCAGCTTTGCCTCAGCTTTGTTTGCAGACACAAAAGACTCCTGCAACAGAAAAATGTCAAACAGAAAAACAGAAAAAGTGGCTTCCCTGGAGCTGTGCTGTGTTCAATGCTGCTAAGTTTTCACCTGTCAGAAGTTTATAGGAATTGAATGCTTCCTGAAGGAAGCATACACAAAGCTCTCATTGCCTCCAATATTGAGATACTCATTTTAGGCTCATTCTTCAGGCCAAAACACAGAAACCTGAGGGAGGTCACTAGTTCCTTAACACCATTACAAAGTATGGAGGAGTTCGCTCTTAAATGCCCAGAAAAGTCTCTGCTGAAGGAGAAGCAAGAGGTATGAGGCAGGTATTACAGAGGGTTAGCTGGAGGTTCTGGGCAGAAGGTGTCTATGTGTGGAAAGGTGAAATCTAGAAGGGTGAAAGTGATGTAGGAGAGGGTTAAGCACTGACTCAGCTTTTAAGATTTCCTGCAACAGCCCAGGACGCTCACTGAGGCCAGTTACTATCTCTGTAGAACAGTCTCCATGCAGCTCCAGACTTTTTTTTTGCCAAAGAACTGGTGATTGCATTGGTTAGTTCAAACAAACTAACTGAGGCAGGGCGGAGATATTGTCTTGCTCAGGTGGATTCAGCTATGAGCCCCCCAGATCCCTCTCACAGGCAGTCTAAAACAGGAACCTAAGTCATAGGCCCTTGCAGGACCAGACTTCTGAGTGGAGATCTCAGGCCTGATTCCCACTGTGCTCCTCCACCTTCCCCTAATAACATAAGGGAGAAACCCTGTGGGAATATCCTTGCACAGGGCCTCATCAGATGGGGCAATACTGCTGGGAAAGGAGCTGACGGTTTCAGGGAGGAGCAGCAGGAATGCTAGCCCTGGGACCAAAGGAACCTCATTGGAAAGCCTGTCTTGGGAGAGTAAACATGTCCCAATAACACAAAGGCCTTGTGAAATGTGGGATGGGCTGCTGTAGAGACTCATGCTCCATCCCCCTGGGCTGACAGACTTGTTCAGCCTGTATCTTGCTGTCACTGTCTGCAAGAGCAAGGTTTGGGGAAAGACCTGTAGGCAAAAGGGTATAAGAAAAAAATAGCAGGGAGAGGGGTGGAACTGTTTTGTACCACAGATGTCCAGCTTGACCTCTTCTCCCTGAAAGCCAGCCCTGCTGCAGCTCCTGAGCTCTTCTCTGTCTCCTTCAGCCAGGAATCCTTGGGCAATCGGTAGACCTCCAGCCAAACTTCTGAGCTGCCTGCATTGGGAAACTTTGTTGAGCAACTGGAAACAAGGAGTAAAGGTCTTTCAAGCAAGCACCCTCTGTTATCTTAAATCATTAAAACAAAATGTGGAGAGTTTTTGAAATATAAAATCCCGGTGAACTCCGTGTATCCCACCTCTCCTCCCACTTAGGGCTTCACATACTTGACTAAGACTGACATCACAGCCTGTAGTTCAGCCCCTCAAAGTCCCACAACCACCAAATAAATTCCATGAAGCCACGCAGTCAAAGAATTTGACATGAAACCTCTGAAGTAAAGCAGGAAGTGAGACATGGTTTCACACATTGGCTCACTACAAATGGTTGAGATATATATTTTAATCAATCTTATATAAATCATTCTCAGCACATGTCCAGGCAGGTTCCACCAAAGGGGTCCAGAAAACATGCTAGCAGCAAATGAGTTGGCAGAGACAGCTGCCATGAAACAACAGCAAGGAGAGTTGGTTGTAGTGTTTTTAGAAACTGTCTCTGTGCTGTCCGGCTTATGTCAGCAGAGAAAGTTCTTCAGGTCTACATACTTGCAGCATAAAAGTGAGCCATGGTGAATCAGAGAAAGAACTGAGGTAAATAATTATGGGGAGAAGAAGAGCCTTCACTTAGCCTCTGCTTCGTTGAGCCTAATGGGAGCTGGGAACTGCACTGACCAGTTCCAATCAGCCAACTTTTGGGATCAGTGCTGATCCATACCAGGCCTTTTGGGAGGAAAGGGAGCGGCAGGAGCACGTCTCTAAGCTGGAAGAGGGACTGGGAAGATTAGGAACAAGATCCCTGGGAACCCAGAATGCTTGGAACATTTCAAAAGCATTGCTGATGGCCCCTGTGCTAGAACACAACAGACGTCATCAAACACACCATGTTCTTGCACTTGCCTTGCAGCAGGACTCCTGCATAATCACCTCCTGAGGACAGCACCACCTCCACACAAGTACTTCGCTTGCTAATATCTTCCTGCCAAACAAAAGCAGGCTGGCGTCAAAGCAAGATCACTGAGTCACAGAGCTCCACGGCCTTGCACAGTTCTCAATAGTGCTGGAAGAACAGAACTGAATATTCTTTCCCAGTAAAGTATCTTGTGCCTAGAGTTTTGTTTCTCAGGTTTCCTCTGGGTTGGCAGGAAGGTCTGGTGGCCCTTAATGCTGCTCTTGCGTGCTCTGTCTAAGCACCTCAGAGATGTTTAGTTTGCACCTTGCATCAGGCTGTCCTTCTGAGGTGTATGTAAGCCATTAGTTCTGAAAAACACTTCCCTGAGACTAGTCTAAATGAAGAATTATTCCTCTGGTTCATATAGGATGGTGTCAGGGACTTCCAGCAGCTACTTTTGTTGCAGACACATCTCTGGGATGTTGGCATGGGATGACTTTGGCACTCAGAGAGCATATGTCACATCACCAGCCAACCTGCATGCTCCTGGCTCAGTGAATGAGCTCTGGTGTCAGCATGTGGCTGCCCATGACATAATTTCCTGAGAGCAATTAGTACTCTTCATGATTGATTATTTACTAGTCCTTACGCAGTATCTATGCAATTAAATCAGTACTTACCACCTCATTTAAGATCTTAATGAGTAGGAAGCTTTCCCTGTGAAAGCAGAAGAGCGAGACAAGCCCTGGAATAGAAATAGGAAGAGGAAAGTGAACAGATGGTAGCCATGCTCTTGGGAGAGGGCTGTTACAATATCAGCAGGAGAGTGGACAGGACTATGTTTTTGTGTTTTTTTCTGGGCTCAAGGAAGAATATCCCACTGCTTCCAGCAATAAACTTTCATTGGCTTCCTTATGTCATTACCAGCAAACACTTGATTGTACACAGAGATGGATAAGACAGTCTGAAAAGCACCTCCGCCAGAAATGACAGCTTTCAGACGAATCAACAAACAAACTTATTCACCACAGGGCTGTACAATTACAGGTGCTGAAACAAAGCACAAGCAGGAGGTCACACCTAGCAATGCTTCTTTCCATCTGGTCTAAAACTTACTGCACTTCAGCCTCAGCCCTGCATCTGCCTCTGCTGTTCCAGCAAGGACACCAAACCCACACCCTTTCCTAATCCCAAGGCCCTAGGGCCACTCTATCACCCTACAACCCGTTACCTAACACTCTTTGCAGGGCTTTCTAGGAAATACAACAGCCACGCTCACATTCCTCCTGATTTAGCACTCTTCCATAAAGCAGCTACCAACTCTTCAGCTCCAGAGCCCAGCCATCCACCAGCCAGGTCAGGGAAACCCACGTCACACCTACCCATTTCATCCACAGTGAGCAGGACATGGTGCTCGTTCCCCAAGTCCGAGGAGCGGATGACACAAATCTCTGTCTTGACTGCATCCCAAACACAGACCTGCTTACAGTCGTACATCCTGAAGGCAGCCAGACCCACGGACAGACCAACAAAGATGAATTTTCCAGACACTGACAGGCAATTGGCTGTTCCAGTTACCTACCAATAAAGGAAAAGATGTGTGCACCCCACCACTACAGATGAGGGGGATACATCAGCCACACCAGTAATAATCTCCTAACCTTTCACCAGTAGCAAAGGCTGATTTATTCTACAAGGGAGAAGCTTTTACATGAGCTTTCATCAGAAGAGCAGGGGAAGAAGGTCACATCTCTGTCACAGAGATTGCTTGGTCAGGAATTAGAGAGTTTATTTCTCTCAGAAATAAAAATAACAATAAAATAAAAAGAAAAACCTGCTCACAGCATATTCACTATTACACAAAGCTGAGCTTGCTCATTTGTATGCTACTGACTAATTACCTTCTGGGCTCAACAAGGGTGGAGCAAGCCAAGGAAGCAGAAGGTGAATTTAATGCTCTTTAATACCTGCTTCTTTCTTTTCAGAGAGATGTGATAGATGGGCGGCAAGCAGAACCTGTTGGACAAGCTTAGAAACTGCAGCCCTTTTGAAATGAATCGGGGAGATGGTGGTGGATTCTGAGGAAGGTGATGAACAGAAGGATGTAAAGCCAACTGAATGGATATTCACTAGAGAAACTGGCAAGGTAATTGCTGCTGTCCCTGGTGTAAGGGGCTCTGTACCTGGAATTCAGCTGTAGGAAAGCATTTTGTGGGCTGGGCCTTCAGTTTTTGTGCTTCTCGGAGCGTCTCCCTTCTTTCAATGATTTCCATAGCATTTTCAAAAACCAGCATCACCAGTTTGTTGGCCATCCTGAAGGGCTGAGGCAAAGCATCGCGTATTCGCTCGGGATCCTGCTGGAAGAAGTCTTCCTCGTCATCCTTCAGCCAGTCCTCTTCAGATGGCGGAGGAATCTCCAGGGAATGCTTCCGGACACGCGCGGGCATCGTGCTGCCTCTCGCAGTGCAGAGCACAGCACCGGTGCAGTAACCACAGCAGGTGCAGGAGAACGAAGAATCGCACAATATCTACTTTCATGAGGTAAAGGGGAAAAAAAAGAAAATCTGGTTAATGATAGTTAAGAGGGAAGAGGGTTCCTTTGGGAGTGGGCAGAGCAAAGTTGCTCTGTATTGTTTATTTCTACTTGTTGCATCCCCTCTGTTACTTTGTTTTTGTTCCGCTCTGCGAATATCGGAGGCAAAGACACTGATATTTCACATTAAAAAATAAATAAATAAAGTCAAAGTTTAGGAGTGAGGTGGATAAGATTTATGAAAAAGCATTAAAAGAAAAAAAAAAACAACAACCTGGGAGGAGGGGGGGGGGAAGCTTTTCGCTGTGACACCGCCCCGCACCTGCCCCGCTGTTGCCGGTCGCCATGGCAACGGGCCGGCAGCGCCGCGGCCCGGCCGGGGAAGCAGAGCCCGGAGCGGGGGGGTTCCGGCGGCGGAGCGGGGCGGAGCGGGGCGGAGCGGGAGCGGCCGCCGTTGTGGTGCCGGTGCCGGTGCCGGCGGGGCTGACCCGGCGCCATGCAGCGCTTCGTGGACTTCACCGAGCGCAGCCAGGGCCGCGAGAGGCTCCTACGGTGAGTGCTCGGCCCTTGTGCCGGGGTCCCCGGGTGCCCGCCGTGCTCTCAGCCCGTGTGTCTGTGGTGTTTTGCAGAGCCACGCAGTACACCTGCATGCTGCTGGGCTATGTGCTGCAGCGGCAGGCCGAGAAGGAGGAGCTGGTGCTGAAGCTGAAGCAGCTGGAAGCCAGCATGAGCTCGGGACGGAAGAGTAAGTGCCGGGGTCCCCGGGGGCGAGCTCCTCCTGGGGACACAAAACCCTTCTGGTGGACTCATGGAGCTGTCAGCATCCTTACCCTGCCCTGGCTTGGCAGGATCTGCACGGCTACAAAGGCATTTGTTGCTCCTCCAGCCTCCTCTCCCATGAGTTGCTGCAGGGAGGGCTGGAGCAGTGAGTTAACAGGCAGGAGTTGAAGTTGTCAGCCCTGTTTTGGGACAGAACGAGGAGTTTTGGCACACCGCTGCCTCACTGCACTCCTGTCAGTCCTCCCAGCAAGGTGGCTTACTACTAAAGATCCCCATCCCCTGAAAAGCACCTCTGAAGAACCATCCTTCAACGTGGCTTCTTACATTTTACTTCACACGACTTTTCTTTAGCACTTACACTCTACTAATTTTTTCCTCTTCCCTACTTTTCTCGTGCTCTAACTGTATGCATCACTTTGTTCCATGTCACCCTGTTGGGGTTGTGCCGTTTGTTGCTGTGGTTGTCCTGTGTGCTTTCGGCTTGATCTTACACCTACTTATCAATTACTCAATTCTGGAGCAGTTTCAACATGTGCGGCAAGGACGCTGATTTAATGTGTTACCATAGATTTGTTTTATTATGCCAATTAGCTCTGGAGTATGGTAATTTCCAGGAGAGAGGCCAGCTGGTTTATCAGCACAGCCATAATTCTCTTGTCTGTGCTAAACAAACCTCCGGCAGGCTTCAGGCCGAAATTCAGGGCCCTTGTAGCTCCACTAAACATGGGTACAGCCAACATCTGTCACTGTTACAGTGCAGCAGGTTATTAAAAGTATTTTGTGTGGTATTGTATTAACATTCATGAGGTGAAACCTAACCTGTGCAGGGCATGAAATAGGGTTTGCTACGTGTTATAGCTGGAAGTGGAATATACTGCTCCTGTTTGCAGGGAGCGATGTGCACCTCTGACAAATTCATGGCTGAGGAGGGACTTGGGTGTCAGCGTGCTCAGCATGTAAACCCCCAGCTTCTGCAGAAGCTTAGGGAAGGTGCAGCTCGTGGTGGCAACGGGGTTTATGCAGTAACATCACCTCCTGTCCAGTGTTAAATGAAATTCACAGCAGAGTACCACTGACACTGGAGGCTCCGTTTGTGTCACTGCCCTGTTCAGAGTGCTATGGGTCCGGAGCACACCCAAGCACTGAAAATGGAGCAGCAGGAAAAGCTGGTCATTCCTGGCTATTGACAAAATTGTGTTTAGGACAGTAACACTGAGGGATTTACACCCCTTCCCTCCCTAATACTAGCCTCTCACACTGCGAACTCACAATTCCCTTAAGAGTGGAGAAGATGTTTAAGCATACAAATGCCCGAAACCTGTTAAGTTTATGAATTGTGGGCAGTGACGTGCCGAGTCGCCCTGCCTAGAGCTGTGTCTCTGCAGCTGCCACGCTAACCTTCGTGGTGTCTCTTGCAGTGTTCAGACTGGGCAACACGGTGCACGCCTTGGTAGCAGCCAGGAGAACTACGCAGCTGCCAGACGTGGTTCCTCGCGTCTGCCTTACGGCTTCCAACCTGACCCGTGCCCTGTACTTCGTCTGCGACACAGTCCTGTGGTTGAAGAGCGTTGGACTCCAGCCTGACATCGACGTGCCAAAGTGGCGGAACTGGGCCACCAAGTGCTACTACTTTTCGCTGCTGATGAACCTGGCCAGGGATTGGTATGAGGTCTCGTGGAGGCTGGAGCAAGCTGTACAGGAAGGAAAGATGAAGGAGAATTCTTCCTGGGACAAACGAAATCACGAACTAAACGGTTTGAAATGTGATGGCGTGCACGGTTTTTTCCTCCTACTGTTTCAGATACTTAAAAATCATCCTCCTCTGGTGCTCGACATGGTGAAGAATCTCTGCGATCTCACGGGTCCTTTGGATACACTGGGGATCTACAAGACCAATCCAGGAGTGATTGGTTTCTGTGGCCTCCTCTCCTCTCTGGTGGGGATCCTCACATTAGCAAGCCCTCATCTGAAGCTGAAACAGTGACAGAGAGAAACTGCACGGCATGTGGTGAGCCGACGGCTTTGAACCTCTGACAGGTTTTGATTCTCCCTATGGCACTTTACAAATGAAGATATCTCACAGTAACCTCAAGATGAGTTTTGTCCTCTGAATAAATGAACTCCACCCTTGCTCCTTCCCTCTCTCTTTGCAGATGAGTTTGGTGCCCAATGGAGTGAAAATGGGAAAAACAAAATCATATTGCACAGACAGAAACAGGACTTGGAACGTGGCTGCCAGATAAGGAAATACTGATTTTATATTTTAATACAGGGTTACGAAATAGCTGCCTCGACTACTGCAATAGGTAATAGGACTCATAATTAATCGTGTTTACACTGGAAAGCTAGAATTCACCAATCAAAGGTTCCTGCAGTCAAATTTTCTACAGCGTGTTCAGTCAAGTTAGGAGCTCTGCTTAAATGGCCTGAAGTAATGCCTGAGTGTTGTGATGGGACTGGATTCCTGCATCCTGACGTCTGTGGGCAGTGGTTTGATGGTAACAGGAGTGGTGTTTCCTGACCTTCCAGTGATCTCCGCGTTACACGAGCACGCACTGTTGACGCTAGACCTATGGTCTGGTGAGTGCCAACTTTGTCCCAGGGCATCAGCACCTTCTTCTTCTCCTTTGTTAATGTGAGCCAAGGACTGCTGGCCACTTACTCTGACTTCTCCAGCTGAGGATTTTGGTGAAGAACAGTGCCTGGGAAAAGCTGGTCTCATTGCCGATAATGCTGTGATTTGTAGGGAACTGACTTTCCAAAGCTGTGAATCTGGAACCTCTCCTGAGCACTACATTTCCCATTGCACATGCACCTTAACTCCCAAGCCTCCGTGATTCTAAATTCAACCATTTTACATTAATCACAGTGTGATAAGCAGCTTGTTCTTCTAATTTTACTTGAAAACATCCAGCGTAATAAAGTGCTTTGGAACCTGTATTTAAGGACAGAAGGCTGTCTTGGAGCTTGTTGAGTCAAACTGCAAGGGAGTGTTTCCAGTTGCGTAAGCTCCTGGAGGGAAGGGAATGGAGTTGGACTTGATCGTATCAGAATCTCCTTGAGAAGAGAAGCTTATTACCTGGATTTGGGCATTCACGTTTCACATTTTCCTTCTTGATCCTCATTATCCTCCCATCACAACCACAAGATTTCTTTTGCATTCCCTCGCTGGTTCTACCATTTGAAAGTGCCTTGTATTTACCCTGTGACAGCGGAATTGCTCTTCGGTTACCTAGCTGGGAATGACTGCCTGGCACTGATCTAGGTTAAAGGAGAAACGCTGTGTCCAGCTGCCTCACAGTTACGTGACATGCAGTCTTTGTTGCTCCTGACTTTGCAGAGTACGCTGTCTGAGAAAAATTTGCACATCATATATATAGGAGACAAAATTATCGCTTTTCTTCATCAGAGCTCAGCCTGTGTGTTCTGTTGCTTTCAGATGCAAGGACTCCTTGTGTCATCTGTCAGGAGATGTGAACAGAGATTACTCTAACCAGGACCAAGGTACTCTCTTATTACTTCTGATACTGTCTGTAAACAGGAATTAAAAGGCGCTGGTCTCCTTTATTAAAAGGAGAGGGCTGTGGAATTGAGTAGGCATGGTAATGCAGGGCCCCAGCTTACCCTAAGTCGTTGTGGTCACGCCTGGAATCACTTCCACTTTGAATCTGAAGTCTTAGGCTGCCAATGAAGGGTTTGAAAAAAGAGGTTGCTGAGCAGGATAATTAAGTGTGTCTGAAGACCAAACATGGCCTGCAGCAGCTCTTCTTTTTAATATGGAAATGAACACCATTAAAAGCAGAGCGTACTGGCAGTTCAGACCATTATGGATATGTTGCCTTCCAGGGCTTCCTCCTGATACCCTTTTTAACAATGGGGTTGTTTTGTTCCTTTACTCCTTTTGCCTTTGAGTGAGATGCTGGCAATGTGTGACCCATCCCTCCCTTGGTCAGACTGATCATTATCCCAACGTACAGCAACCCCTACGCCCTCCTAACTCCTCTCCTAAGGAAAGGAGAAGAATCTCCACGACCTGGCAGTGGAGGTCTGGCTACCCTTTGCCTACAGAATTTTGTCTTCTTGCAAGAATCTGCATTACGAATTCCTCTCAGGGGACCTCTTGGATACAAAATAGATCTTCCACTGTTTTACAAGCCTACTCCTCTTTTTCCCTTGTAGTTCATAGGTAAAGGGAAATAGATTTACTTGCTGATGTGGCCCCTGGCCAGATATACCTCGCTGTGCCCTCTGCAGAGGGAGGAGTGTGGGTTTTTTGCCCATGTGCCAAGCAAACACTATGCAAAGCCACAAGCCAGTTCTTGATATTTCTCCTGGAGGGACTGGGGTGGATTAACAAGTACAGACTTAACCTGGGAGACAGGGCAATGAATTTTCAGCCTTTCTCAGCCTTACCTGCCCCATTCTGTATAGAACAGGACAGAGCATACAGGAGTAACTTTACTGGATGTTAAGCACTAACACTTGCCTTTCTGCTCCCCAGCTGGAGGCTAGTAATTTAATGTATTTTAATGTGATGTGACTGAAGCCATAGAATCATGATCAAGTGGAGAAGATCCTTTTAGTGCCTTTTCTTTGTATGTTTCTAATACAGCAGTAGGAATAAGAACAGCTGTTTGAACACAAGCAATAAACTTATCTAAGAACGACACCGTGTCTGTGTGTGATTTAGAGGGTGGAGAAGAGATGCTGAAGAAGGAATCCTCTCTCATATCTCCAAATTGGGCAAAAGTGTTGAAGAGAAACTGCCTGTGTTTGCTCTCGGGTTATAGAGCTTTCCTTTCACAGGAGCAGGGTGGCAGCCAGATTTCACAGGCTCATTTACAACCCCAATTTCAGATGTGAAAACATTAAGAAGTAAACATGTGAGCACCTGGTAAAAGTGCACATGAAATCACCCGAAAAATGACATTTGGGGAATTGCCATCGGCTGCCCTTGAGTACAAGCAGTTGGTGCTGGAGCCCTCAGCCCAGCACAGGCACAGCTAGGTGAAAAGAATGGCTACACCTGCACTGAAATACCTTATAAACAGCCTTTCGTTTGGATGGCTCTGTGTTGTGGGGCAAATTGCTGCGGTTGTTTAATAATGAACACCTGTTCAGGGCAGAGAGTGAAGGATAACATCTCCGGTTGAGATGGGGAGGGATGGGGAAGGGATAGCCATTAAAACTGAGCTCCTGCTGGTAGCTCGCTGTTTACTCCTGTGCCCTGCAGTAAGAGCTTTGCAAATTTAAAAGCTCCAAAATGTCAGTTCCTGAGTAATGCACAAAGCGTCGCGTTTGGCAACAATTTAGCACGAATTTCCCTCTGAATTACTGGTCTCATATATATTTCATAATGGTAGCAATTAACAGGAGAATGGTACGTGAGATAAGGGATCTACTCACAGACAAGGCTTTCCTAGCATTTGTACCCTGCTTGGCACGGTATTTCAAGAAACGTGTGAGCCATTGGAGAGTCCCAGGTGAGCAGCAAGAGTGATCAAAGGTCTAAAACCCAACAGCTCTGGGGAGGGATCAGGTGAACTGGTTTTGTAGAGGAAAGGTGACAGAGAGAGGGTGTGAAGGGTATTCATGTGTCTAAAAGGCTTTCTGCCAAGAGGAAGGCAGTAAATTGGTCTCTAACTCCATGCAAGAGGTACGTTTATATTGCCACGAAGGAGAATTAAATCACACAGGTGATTTTACGTTGAACTGAAGTAAAACAAAACACTAAATAGATTGCCAGGGAAGACATTATTTAAAAAGAAACTGGGCAGACACTTGCCAGCAGTGATTTGGGGATGGTGATCCTGCTGTTGGGCATGGAAATAAATTAACTACTCCAGCCCCCTGCAGACCTAAGCTTAAAGATGCCTCATGTGTCTTTAGGGCTCTAGCTCACCCCCAACCATGGTATATTAATGGGAATGGAGGAGACTGCAGAGACAAGGGTGTAAACCTCTGCTGCCCTGCACCCAGCCGATCCAGGCTCTAAATGCTGCCTGCAGAAAGTGTTTGTCACGGGGCTGGCACAGCCTCTGCCCCGCAGCGAGGGGAAGGGGAAAGGCCACAGCAGGGCAAAGGCTGCGCTGTCTGTTGATCCCAGCTCATGCCAAGGCAGGGAGAAGGCTGGCACTGCCCCTACCCGGCCAGCAGAGCTGGGAGAAGCCTCGGTGCCAAGAGAGCAAACTTGTGAGCAGGCTGCTGCCCTTTGTCCCGCTGTCTGGAGAGCAGTGACTCACCCCGCTGCTGCGCTGGAGCCCATCCAGGGCACTGGTGTGCCTGTTCCAGGGCACTGGTGTACCTCTGTTTGGGGGGTGAGCCCAGCAGGCAAGGCAGCTCTGTGAGTTTTGCAGGGCTGGGAGCAAATCCAGGCTCTCTGGAAGGAAAGGAAGACCAAGCAGAGCTTCCAGGAGCCCAGAGCCACGCAGGTTTGGGCACACACCTCCATGTCCTGCATGGGGGTTGAGGGACAGAGGCCGAGCTGCTGCACTGCTTGGAGGCCACATTCATGGGACTGCGTCCTGTTTTGGCCCCGCCAGCCCAAGAGAGATCCTGAGGGTCAGAAGAGTCCAGCACCGCTGAGGGGTTAGGACATGTAGGGATCTACAGCACGTGCCGTGCCAGCTGGAGCACAAACTGCTCCGAGGTGCCCAGAGCAAGGAAAAGAGGTGGCAGGCACGTGCTGTGACAGAGAGAGATCCCCCTGGAAATAAGGGAACAGGCATTTGTCATGAGTGTGGCTTAGCACTGCATCTGGGGCCCGGCGAGATGGGGATTTTGGCCTTGCTGACCTCAGGCAGCCTGCCCTGCTTTGAGCGGGGCCGTTTTCGCAGCCTTCTGCCCCAAATTTGGGTGGCCTTGGGGTGCTGTTTGCCCGGTTTCCACAGCAACCCGTGGCTCTGAACCCAGCTGGGAGGTGGGGCCTGGGGGTGGTAGTGCCCAGGGCACCGCGCACCCCGGCACAGGCCCCGCACGCAGGGACGGCACTGCCACCAGCTCCTGCTCTGCACAGGCAGACCCTGGGTGAGTCCCCGGTCCCCAAAGGGGGGACAGCTTCAGCGGGACTAGTCAGGGTGAGGACAGGGATTGGGTGTCACCAGGAGCAGCACAGGCGGGGGTTTTGTGGTGCTTTGCAGCCCAGCCGGGTGCATGGGGACAGGGATGATGGTGCTGAGCCATGGGGTGGTGCACAGGGGGGGTCTCACGGTCCCCGTCACAACCCCACATCCCGAGCATCACCGCTCAGCCTCCCTCATCCTGCCAGCAGCTCCTCTCTCCGCTCCTCTCTGCGCCTACCCCCAGCCTGCCTACCCTCAGCTTGCTTTCCAGCCCTAACCCATTTCGTCCTGCTTGTACCCTGCTCCTCCCAACCTCTCAGCCTCTCAGCCCATTCTTCACACCCTGGGGTGCTGAGGCCCGCTAGCAGGGGAGGAGCTCGTGGAGCCCTTGGCTGTAGGGTTTAAGTGGTAAAAAGTCAAGCCTTAGGCAATGGCACGTCCCGTGGCACCCAGGGGAGGTGCGTGTCCCAGCCCAGCTCCAGCCCATCCCACTCCGAGCTGTGGGGTGAGCAGGGAGCCCACGGGCAGCACAGCACCGCCTGCAGCTCTGAACTTCGCTTTGCCCGCAGACGTGTCGCGATGACGGCCAAGAAGAATCAGACCCTGCAGGATGGAAGTGCCAAGGTGAGTGTGGGAAGAGGGAGAGGAAAGGGCAGAGCGTGATAGTGCCAGGCAGCTCATACGGGCTGCACCAGGTGGATGTGGGTCGCACCTTGTGCTGCCCCGTGGGTTATCCTTACCTGCAATAAAACAGAGCAAAGGATAACGTTTGGTGTGCTTGAAGTTATCTAGTTGGGAATCAGGAGTTAACCCTGAGCTGGAAGGAGAACAGTCATGCTTGGGAGCTGGGGCAGGTGGGGACCATCAGTGCTCCAATGGTATTTGTGGGGTCATTTTATGGGATCGCTGCTCCTTCGGCAGCAGCAGCCAGCCTGGTTTTGCACAGCTGAGCCACAGGAAAGGAGGCCGGGAGACTCTCACTTGTGCCACCTCCTGGCCCTCAGCTTCCTGAGCAGCTGCTTGCTGAGCTGCCACTGGAAAGCAGAGAAAGTGGGCTGGGGGACGTCTCCTCCTCCAGTGGGAGCTGAGCTCCCGGGTGGGCACAGCGATGTGCCCGATGCCCGTATGTGACGGGACGTTTTTGGGGAGCTGGCTGGCCCCTAACCGTCCCTCTGTGATGCTCAGGAGAACGTGCTGCAGCGGGTCCTGCACCTGCCGGTGGTCAGCTCGACCTGCGAAAGCCTGCAGCGGACCTACGCCAGCACCAAGGAGGCCCACCCGCTCATGGCCTCCGTGTGTGAGGTCTACGAGCGGGGCGTGCAGGGCGCCGGCGCCTTGGCCTTGTGGAGCGTGGAGCCCGTGGTGCGCAGGCTGGAGCCCCAGTGTGAGTCCTCCAACGCTGCCCGTGGGGAGGGGACAGGGGGGGACACGGCAGGGGGAGCATCCCGTGGTGCTGGCACAGGCACACAGCACCCCCAGCGCAGCCCCCAGCCTTCCTCACCAGCCCGCTCTCGTGTTTTTGCCCGAGGCAGTCACTGTAGCCAACAACTTGGCCTGCCGGGGCTTGGACCACCTGGAGGAGAAGATCCCTGCCCTGCAGTACCCCGTCGAGAAGGTAAGGTCACGGGTGGGACAGCAGCCTCTGGGACCCTACAGCCCCTCTGTGGAGCCCACAGGGTTTCTCCTATGGGGCACGCTGCCTCTGGTCATTGCTGGAGGTGAGGGGCTGCTCCGGGGCACCCCAAAGCAAGGACTTGGCCACAAGGGTTGGGTAGCTCCCAGACATATGTCAGTAGTGTCCCGTGTGCCATCCCCACCAGCTGCCTCCAGCCCAGGCTGTAGGAAATTGTCATGCCCCTCCTGGGTGCGGCCACAGCTGGGGTCTCCATTGTCCCTCTGGCTGTCCCCTGCCACCTGGAGCAGGCCAGCAGGGCTCTTCTGCATCTCTCCACCCGCAGCTCGCCTCCGAACTGAAGGACACCATCTCCACCCCGCTCCAAAGCGCCAAAAGCACCATTGGCAACTCCGTGGACAAGATCCTGGGGCTGGCAGCAGAGGGCTACGAGGCGACCAAGAGCACCGTGGAGACCACGGCCAGGTACACGAGGAGCAACTCGGTGAGCCAGATGGCGGCCGCCGGCGTCGACACGGCGCTGGGCGGGCTGGAGAAGCTGATGGAGTACCTGCTGCCAGAAGAGGACGAGGAAGCAGGTAGTCCCGATGCCCAAATCATCACCAAGGGGGCTGCAGAGGGATGTCCCTGCAGAGCAGGGGGTGGCTGGGATGGAGGAGACCCTCTGTTCCTGGCCCTATAAGAGGTGGCACCTCGCTTTTGGGGTGCAGGTGGAGGGAGGATGCTTGGCCCTTGGCCACTGGAGGCTTCTGGTGTGGGTCCCCCACCCAGCCCTGGGCTGCTCTGCTTTTAGATAAGAAGCCCAAAGAGACTCGTGGGCCAGCAGCAAAGATCTCCCAGAGGAAGCCCAGTGCTCCCAGAGCTCCCAGCGCTCCCAGTGCTCCCAGTGCTCCCAGCGCTCCCAGTGCCCCCAGCACCCTGGGCCGGATCGGAGCCCTGGTCAGCACCGTCTCCCACCGCGCTTACCAGCAAACCACCCAGAGCCTCCAGCGTGCCAAAACCAAGGGGCAGGAGCTGGTCACCTGGATCCCCATCGTGGTGAGTGCCCCAAATCCCCCCAGAGACCCACAGCAAAATGGGGGCTACAGGAATGAGGCCAGACCTGAAATGTTGGGATTCCTACCGAAGGCTGGGCTGGGATTTCCGTCGCCTTTTCCCATGGTAAAACCCGAGAGCCCTTTTCCCATGTTCCCAGAGAGCACAATAGGCAGCGGGGGCAGTCGCTGCCAGCTTTCCCCTGCTCAGCAGTGGGAGCTGGGGCCAGCGGTCTCCGTGCCATCAGCACATTCACACAGCCTGCAGCACGTTAGCAGGATGAGTTATTTCCAGCTGCCTCCCAATCTAGATGGCTGATTTATGGCCTTGCCATAACATCCTCCCCACACCAAACGCCCCGTGGGAGGACCAGATACCATCAGGACAGGGGGTGCCTCGCCTCTCCCACCCCTTCCCAGCCGGTCCCAAAGCCCCGGGGCTGCCCCGAGCTCTGTTTTTTTGCCCCCACAGGGCAGCCTTGCCAAGCCGAGCGCACCCCAGGCACCACAAAGCCACGGTGAGGGGCAGGGCACTGCGGGCGGCTGGCTGAGCCGGCGGCAGAGCAAGGTGCCGGAGCAGAAGCAGGAGAAAGCAGGGAAGAAGGAGGACAGCCACGCTGGTGAGGTACGGAGAGACAGGAGGGTGGCGAGACAGGGTCATCCCAAAGCATCCTCCTGGCCCCAACACGTCCTCCCTCTCCTCTCCGAAAAGATAAATAAATGCACTCCTTTTCTGACACCTTCCCAGGGGCTGGGCACGAGCCAGAGGATTGACTTTCCCTGGCTTATTCCTTGGGGAAAAAAATCCTGAACCCCCCAAATCCGACAGCTATGTGCCAGGCATGATGCAGGTGCCCCAATTCCCCGACCCGGCACCAAGCTCCCAGTTGTTGCTTTGGGGTCTTGGCACCGAGTGTCCCCCCACTGCACGGTCCCAGCAGTGAAAAAAGGGCAGGAGGACCCTGGGTGGGGGGGGATTGAGGTTTGGGGGGGCCCTGCTGCCAGCACAGAGAGCCGGGGCTGGGAACTTTCCCCGCTGGCAGCAGCTCTGCTGGGACACGCGGACGGGAAGCTGCAGGTCGGGGTCAGTGCCCTTTGCCTCTGCCTGCAGCGGAAATGTGGGGTCCCAGGGGGCTGCGAGGGTCTGGGGGGGGGAAGATGGTGGTGGCCAGCACGAGTGGCTGTGGTGGCTTCTCTCTCCAGGCAGGGGATGGTCCTGGGCTGGTGGGCAGCGTGGCCCACAACCTGCAGAGCGCCTGCGCCTCCGGCATCTCCAGCGTGAAGAAGGTCCCTGCTGTGGCCTGGGACGCGGCCGAGGGCTTGATCCTGTTCACCCCCCGCAGGCTGTCCAGGGCCATGGAGACGGTGGATGCGCTGGGGGGGACCCTCGTCAGCGCCCCCAAGCATCTGCTGGGCACCCTGTACAGCTACGTGCCGGTGAGTTTATCACGGATCAGGTCCCGTCCACCTCCTGTAAAGCCTTTTAGATCCAAGCCACCCCACAGCACCATGTAGGGCCAGAGAGTCACCAAAACCTGTGATGGGGAGTCCCTGTGACACCCCCCAGGCAGGGCACACCCCAGTGACACCAAGCCCTGAAGCCACCACGCCACACGTGCCCTCCTGTCCCTGTCGGGACGCCGTTCACCCTAGTGTGTGCTCCAGGACGGGACTGCAAATTCCTGGGGAGGCGAAAATTCAGGCCGAGCCCGTGTCTCCCCCCCGCTCCTCCGCCTCCCTTCCCTCCCCGGGGACCACGTGTCCTGCGGCCGCCCACTCCCTCCTCCTCTGGGGACGCCCGTGGGGATAAAATGTCCCGTCCTGAGCTCTCTGCCCCACGAGGTCTCCCTTGGGGCCGCCGCTCAAGCCAGCTCTCAGCTCCGCAGGCAGTCGGTGAAGGACGAGGCGGCGGCGGGGGGCAGCAAGGCCAGCCCTGAGCCGGAGCAGAAGGAGGAGGAGGACGGCAAGCCTGCCACCGCCCCCGCCGAGGAGAAGTCCCAGCTGAGGGGCGACTGGCGGCTGTACCGCGGCCACCACCCGCTGTCCTTCCTGGGCCTGGAGGACCCCCTCTTCATGCGCCACAACCTCTACCGCAGCCCGGCCTTCGAGCCCGAGTGCCCCCTGCCGCGGAAATCCGCCTTCGCCCCCTACAACCGGCGCGTGAGCGAGGGCTCCTACCGCTTCGGGCCCGAGGCCATGTACAGCCGGGCCTACTACGCCAACCTCTACAGCCCGGCCTTCAAGAAGGACTGAGGAGGTGGTGGTGGGGGGCACACAGCTCAGCACCCCACAGCACGCTTTGCCCCGCCACTACCCGCGTCCCCACACGGACACAGACATCGGTGTGACAACGAGCAGGGACGTCCCTCCCACCCAGGGGGTGTCTCCATGCTCATGGGTTGCATCCATGGTTGTGTCCTGATGGGGTGTCAGCCCCTGTCCCCAAGCTGCAGCCCAAGCAGATCATAGGGAACCCGTGGGTGCTTTGCCCTGTGGTTGTCCCCGCCACGCACACCCCCCCCCGCAGACACAGGAGGGTCCTCGCTCTGCCCCGTGGGGTGGCTCTTCCCTGGGGAGTGCGCTGGGGCCAGGAGGGGGAGAGCGAAGGCAGCCAAAATGCTGCTGTTGGAGGGAGAAGTAGGTGGAGGAGAGACCAGAGGGGACCAGAGAAGGGAAGGAGATGTGGAAAAAAAAGCAGAAAGGGACCAGCTCTGGGCCACCCTTGGTGTCCTTGTTGAGGGTCGGAAATGAGGCCGGTGACAGTGGGCGGAGTGCCTGGACCCCCTTCTCCTGCGGTTCTGCCCCACTTCCCGCTACTTGTGGTTGTATCTGCTGCTGTAATAAACCTTCCCTACCTGCCCCCAGCGTGGTTTGCCTTACCAGAGCTAACCCAGCAACAGGATGGGTTGAGGAAGGGGAAACTCAGCCCCTGGGCACCCAAGCAGGGACAAGGGGATCCCGAGGGTGCCTGCAGAGGCTGCGCTAACTGGGTCTGTGCAGCAAGCCACAAAGGGCTGGGAACACCATGGGAAGGAGGGCCTCTGCCTTTCGCCGTGCTCAGGCAGTGCCCAGCACCAGACGTGCCTCTTCCCATGCCTGGAGTACAAATTCACAGCCACGAGGAGCCAGGGGCTTCCTGCCAAAGAAGATTTATTCCGTTTAGAGGAGAACAGAGCGGAGAACTCACTGTCTGTACCGCGCACACCACCCCCTTCCTACACGCTGCTTTCCCAGGCACACCAGGGAAGGGGAAAAGCCTCCGAGCCCTCCTCCCCACCTCCCTTCCTCCCCGGGGACCCGCAGGCTCACAGAGGTCTGACTTTACGAGACGCACGGTGCAGTCCCACATCCTGGGAACGAGCCCGGCGCCTGACTTTCCCATGCACAGCCCGCGCACCACTCGCACAAGGGAAATGTCCACAGCCACCAAAGGGCTGCGGGCGGGAGGAGCAGGTCACCAGCACGGCTCCGCCTGGAGTCACGGAGAGAAGGAGGGTGGGACGGGAGGGTCAAGGACCCGGCCTGATATCCTGCGGGGTCAGCAGCGTGATGCCAAGGTGACAGCGTGGGGACACGGAGCGGGGCGGAGGTGGCGTGTCCTCCCTGCTCACCGGGGCAGCTTCCCAGAGAAGGAGCTGTGTGTTCCTGCAGGAAACCACCGTGCTGGTGGAAACGCGCCCCATTTCCACGGGCACCCCGAGGAGGCTCCATCCAGCCAGGCAGCACGGGGAGAAGCAATACCCAGGCCACAGCTCAGAGGGAGTCCGTTCGCTTGCGGGCAAACACCGCTGACATGGTCTTGACGATGCCCCGGATGCCCGTACCCTTTTTCAGGGCCAGTTTGGTGTCGGGGATGCGCTCGGCCAGTCCGTGGAAGACCATGAGGGCCCCGTGATACGCCTCGGCCGCAGAGACCTCGTAGAACCCACAGTCCAGGGAGAGGGCCAGGAGCCGTCCCTCCTCGCTGGACACCTCCCGTTGGTGGTGCAGGTCCCGCTTGTTGCCCACGATGACGATGGGCACCTTCTCCTGGCTCTGCCCCTCCTTGGCCGCCTTGATGAACTGGATTTTGGGGGGCAGGATGTCGAAGCTGGCGCGGTCGCAGATGCTGTAGACCAGGACGAAGCTGTCTGCCCACTGGATTCGCTTCTCCTCCGAGGAGCCATCATCTGCCTGGTCCTGGGGAAGGATAAAAGGAGGGTTCCTGAAGGTTTCTTTACCCTGCTCGCTCTCTCCATGCCAGCCTGCTAGCGCAGGGTGCTGAGATCCATTGGGACAGGAATGGCAGTGAGCAGTACGGAGGTGACCAGACAGGGACACTGGAGTCAGAGCCCTCCCCTTCCCATACAGACGGGAATTGGCACAGGTAATAACAGCGTGGGGTCCTCCGTGGGGCACTCCCACTGCATTAATACCCTGTGCTCAGCCCAGAGGCACGATATCAGTGCCTTGCTGTCCTCCCTGGTCAGAAAACTGCGTGCTGCGATGACTATTTCCACGAACAGCACAGCTGCCCTGTACTCAGCAGGCAAAAAGGACTCAGATCCTACAAACCATCTGCTGAGCGAGCCTGAAGCGAGAGCTTTGTGTAGCTGGGGCTCCCAGCCCGTGGGGGCTGCTTTTAGCAAAGGCTGGGTTTTCGTCCTGGGGGTGAAGATGAGGGAGGAGTGCAGCCCTCTCACCTGGGAGTTGGGGACGTCCCAGATGTGGAAGAGAATCTCCCGACCGTCCACGGTCAGGGTGTGGCTATAGATGAATTCTGCCAAAAAAAAAAAAAAAAAGAGAAAACAAAGACGTTTGCCCACACAGACCCCAGAGACAGTTCCCTTGCACCAGGTCTTCTCCCCTAAAAACCTTTAGTGTACACCCTGGGAGACTGCAAGCCCCGAGGCACAGCCCTCGGGCTCTCTGTACAGCAGCAGCGGGGGCTGTGGGGCAGATTTGTCTCTGCCATGAGTACCCCATGCTCAGCCCATGCACACCTGAGCCTTTGGCACCCCAAAGAAACAGTTCCAAAGTGAAAAAAGGGCTCACTGAACAGACACGACCTTCAAGTGTCCCGGGAACAGGCGGAGGCTCTAGGGAAGCACAGGAGAGGATGGGAAGGAACCGAACCCTGCAGCAGGATGGGGATCGGGCTCACTTTCTGACCTCCCAGTCCCCAGCGGGCGTTTAGCGGGACCGGCCCTGGCCCAGCACTCACCCATGTCTCCGTACTCCCCGATAAAGCGCCTGGTGAGGAAACGCACCGTCAGGGCTGCAGAGGGGAGAATAAGAATCACAAAATAATCCTAAACCTCCTGGATTCATGCTTAAACCCAGACCAAGGTCAGCACAGCCCCGATCACGCTCAGGCAGCGATCCCCCCATAAACTCCTGCTACAGGGACCGATCTCGGATTCCCTCCCTTCCAGCCACGGGGCTGCAAACAGCGGAGCGGCACGGCACGAAGCGGCACACCAGCAGACTGCAGCTCGGTGAAAAACACCTTCCCCATCCCTCCCCATCCCTCCCCTGCTGCCTGCAAGGTCGTGCTCAGCTTCCCCACCCCGGGTACCCGAAAGCACAGCCCCGTCCCCCCTCTGTCCCGGAGCACAGCGGGGTTGCTCTCCGCAGCTTAATCCCCAAAATCTGCTGCAGCTCTCTGTCTTTTTTTTTGCGGTAGCAGGGGGTCTCTGTGCCTGCAAAGTTTCAGCTTTTTGCTCATGGTCATTTCCTACCTGATTTCCCCACGCTGTCGGCTCCCATCACGAGCACGTTCGCTTCTGCTTTCAGGGCGGCGGGGCCGGGCACCTCCAGCAGGGCAGGGTGGTCGGGGGTGAAGCTGGCACTCCTGCGCAGCCGGAGCCCCATGCCGAGCGTGGCCGTGCCCTGCCAGGCAGTCCAGCAGCGTGTCCGAGGGGGTCGGCAAATCCCACGGCACCCAGGGGACCCACGGGGACCACCCCGCTCCCGGCAGCCGCCGGGGAGCTGCGGCCGGGGCTGCAGCCGGAGGGATTCCAAACTTTGTAATCCGTCGATCGGCTCATCCCGGCACACGTCAGCGCCGGGCTGGCCCCGTCATCCCGCAGCGTGGCGGGCTGCCCGCAGCAGCGCTGCCGCACGCGGCCCAGCAGCCTGCCCACGCCTGCCCGCCGGGCACCCCAGTGTCCCCCAACACCTCCCCGCCGACTCGATGGGGCTTGTGGGGAGCAGCGGAGCGGCTCGTGACAGGAGTATCACGACTGGTGGAGGGGCTTGGGGCTGAGGGGGTGCCTCGCAGACTGTATAAGTGATGGGGCATCTCGTGATCGAGGGGGTATATCGTGACAGATGGGGTGTGTCGTGATGGATGGGGTATCTCACAACTGACAGGGCATCTCACGACTGAGGGGGTATATCGTGACTGCTGTGGCATCTCATGACTGATGGGGCATCTCACAGCTGGTGGGGTATATCGTGATAGATGGGGCACCTCACAAGTGACGGGGCATCTCACAACTGACAGGGTATATCACAACCAACGGGGTATCTCATGATGGATGGAGTATATCACTCCCAACAGGCTATATCATGACTGATGGGGTATATCATGATTGACAGGGCATCTCATGACTGACGGGTATCTCAGAACTGACTGGTGAGATACAGCTGGTGGGGTATATCATGATAGATGGGGTATCTCACAAATGACGGGGCATCTCATGACTGGTGGGGTATATCATGATAGATGGGGTATATCACGACTGGCAGGGCATCTCACAACCGACGGGGTATATCATGACTGATGGGGCATCTCATGACTGGTGGGGTACATCACGATAGATGGGGCATCTCACAACTGACAGGGCATCTCACGACCCAACTGATGGTGTATATCACGACTGGCAGGGCATCTCAGAACCGATGGGCTATATCATGACTCATGGGGCATCTCATGACTGGTGGGGTATATCATGATAGATGGGGCATCTCACAAGTGGTGGGGCATCTCACAACTGACAGGATATACCACAACCAACAGGGTATCTCATGACTGATGGGGCATCTCACAGCTGGTGGGGTATATTGTGATAGATGGGGGTATATCACGACTGGCAGGGCATCTCATGACTGATGGGGTATATATCACGATAGATGGGGCATCTCACAAGTGATGGGGCATCTCACGACTGACAGGGCATCTCACGACCGATGGGGTATATATCACGACTGCTGGGGCATCTCACGACCGATGGGGCACACCCCCCCCCTCCCCTCGCAGCCTCCCTCCCACATCCCCCCCATCCCGGCCCCATCCCGGCCCCATCCCGGCCCCATCCCGGCCCCATCCCGGCCCCATCCCCTCTCCCCGTGTCGGTGCGGGGCGGTTCCTCCTGACGCCATCTCCCCGCGCCCAGCCGAGCGGAGCCGAGCGGAGCGGCGCCGGGCCCGGCCATGGCCCCGGAGGGGGCCGCGGTGCGGGTGGCGGTGCGGGTGCGGCCGCTGCTGCCCAAGGAGGTGCTGCGGGGACACCGGCCCTGCCTGCGGGGCGACGCCGCCACCGGGGAGGTGGCCCTGGGCCACCGCCGCCGCTTTCGCTTCGCCGCCGTGCTGCCCGAGGCGGCGGGGCAGGAGGCCGTGTACAGCGCCTGTGTGCGGCCCCTGCTCAGAGCCTTCTTCCAGGGCTTCAACGCCACCGTCTTCGCCTACGGCCAGACCGGCTCCGGCAAGACGTACACCATCGGCGAGGCCAGCGTCGGTGGGTACCGGGCTGCCCCGGGGCCGGGGGGGTGGCTCTGAGGGGGCAGAGGGGGGCTGCTGGCCCCTGGTCCCCTCACGGAGCCCCCCCCGGGATGCTCGGTGGTCTCCGTGCCTCGCACCCGCTGCGTTTTGTCCCC